GGCAGCCTGCAGCAATCCCTGCTGCCCCTTCCCCTCAGCAGGTGGTCTCTCCTGCTGTGCCGTGGCCAGTGCGTCTGGACCGCGGACTCACTGTGCATGCGTTGGATGCTTGAGGTCTTGGGTGTCAGGCTCTTTTCGAACCGGACAGGTGGTCCCGAGGCCCGTGCGGGTCCTGCCCTGCGCCCGCAGAGGCCTGTGCAGGCGCTCAGTGGAGACCCGGCTGGTTGGCCTCATCGGGGCTGCGTGGGGCTGGCAGGCCTGGGCCCGGCGGGGAGAGGCGTGGCCTGGCCCACCTGCTTCAGGTGTCCTGACCTCCCTCAGCATCCCGAGGCTGCCCCCACCCCATCCCCTGCCCCTGCTCCTGCTCCTCCCTCCCGTGCGCACACCTGCTTCCCCCTTCCTGCAGTGGGCCAGGCCCCGCCCCAGCTCCGGAGTCCTGCTCTTTTGTCCCATGTATGACAGCGTTGTCCCCTTCTACTGGATCCCCCCCACCTCTCCACCGCCTGGCAGGGCTCCTCTCGGGTCCCCAGGCTGGCTGGCTGGCCTCCCCTCTTCTGACCCCCATTCCCTCATCCAGGCTCAGGCTGCGGCTGCTCCCTCTAGCCTGGTGCCTCCTCCAGCCGCCACTTCCCAAATGCCTCAGCCACCCCCTTTCCCTTCCCTGAAAGACCCCTCCCAGCTCCTCGTTCCTGCCACGGGTACCACTGCTCGCCTCATTCCTTGGGTTTCGATCACGTTAATTAATTGCTGCAATGTCTATCTTTTTCTGTCCCTCCCCCCAACCCCCGTCCAGCTCCTGGTCTTCCCACGAGCCCCCTCTCAGGGTCATCTGTGTCCGCGTGTCCCCTCCGCATGTCCCCTCCTAGCTCAGAGCCCGCCTGGCTTCTCAGCAGCCGTGGGTGGAGCCCCTGCCACCACCGCTCGGGCACCAGGCACCGTCTCCGACTTCCTCAAAGCCCGTCTGCATCCTGCCTCACTTCTCCGAAAGCCCATTCCTCCCCCGGGGCTTCTCTGGGTGACAGGTCACATGACTCACCAGTGCCCGCACTCTGGTCCAGTTCCCACCGGCCACTTCCGGCCAAGCCGCCATCCTTCTCTGAATCTCGTGTCCACACCGGGATGAGGAAAGCATCTCCCTTAGTGGCCGCAGGAGGGTCCCCCCACGGTGACATCGGCAGCCGCCGTAACCCTCCACTCCATGCCGGGGCGGGGAGGCCGCGTGGTGGGGGGCTCAAGGTTCCCACCTGCTGGGGTTTGGAGCTGAAGACTTGGCCCCCCCAGTAAGATGAGCCCGGCTGGGCTGGGGGCTGGTCAGGGAGCCCACACGGACACCTGTCCTGGGATCTCCGAGTCTTGTCTCTGGACCAATGTCACTTGACTGACGGCCTCAGTGCCCTCGGGGCTGACTGGGCTTTGCTGAGTACGTGAGCCTCCACCTGGCCCCGTGGGTTCCTGCGGACCTGGTGGCCCCAGGCAGCAGGGAAGGTCCCAGCGCCCTCCAGGCCTCCTCTTCCCCTAGTTTCCAGCTTCCCTCGCTGGCAGCACCACTGCCTGTTTAATGAACCTGTTATGCCCATGAGCTCAGGGCCTTTGGCTCAAAGAGGTGACCTGGGCACCGGAAGCTGCAGAGGCAGAGGTTGGGCAGAGAGACCATGTGGCCGGCTGGGCTGGCCGGGGCTGGGGGCACAGAAGACCCCGGCTGGGCCCTTCTGGCCTCAGGAATGGCCTCTGGTCCAGTGGGGCTGCTGGGACCATCGAATCCAGGGTCCTCCCTTTTTGGCCCGTTTTTGTGATTGGGGACAGAAGCCCGCGGCCCTCCTGGGCGGCCTGGATGGGGTGTGGGGGCGCGGTGGCTGCATTCCCCCCACCCAGCATGCTTCCAGGGGAAGTGACCCCGCGGCACCGTTCCTGTCTGAACTGCCGGGGCTCGAGGAAACGCCCCCCACCTGTGACCTTGACTCTTCCCGTCTCCTGCCCCCGAGCAGACCTTCCCAGGGCCCGTATCCTGAACGCTGAGCTCTGTGTCCGCGGGGAACAGGGGACTGAGGGGGAGACAGGGAAGGGCTTCTGTGGGAGCCCCTGCTCCTGAGAGGGCGTGTCCTCCCCACCCAGGGGCTCACACTGAGGCACCGGCCTGTGTGGAGGCTGAAGTGTGGGCAGGACGGGGATTCTGGCCTGGGCTGGACCCGAGGAGGGAGGGGCCGGGGTCCCTGCTTAGCCTGAAGTTTCTGAGTCACCGAGCTGGCCTCTCGGCCGGAAGTGGGAGGAAGAGGGTCCTCAGATTGGAGCTTCCCTCCCGGGACAGGGTGGGCCTTTCCTGCTCCTGCTCCTGCGCCTGCGCCCTGGCCCCGGCACTGGACAACTGGACACTTGGTGACCACAGGGTGGTCCTGCTGTCCCCACACTCTCAGCTGCTAGGCTGTGCGCTGGGCTTTTCCGGGAGAGGGGGAGGAGCGGGTTGTCGCAGAGACTGTCTCGGGGCCTCCTGTCTCCTCCGGTGGCAGGACAGGGTCCCATCCCCTGGCAGCGGGCTGCAGTGAGGGCCTGTTGAGAAAATGATGGGGGACTGTCCAGCCACACCCCCGCCGTGCCCTTGGGACCAGCGGGAGAGGCCCAGGCCACACTGGTGGAAGCATTTGGCGCTCCTGGGATGGGCTGGCGGCCGCTCCTCCCGGGCAGGCCCGTGGGACAGGGCGGGTGGGCCTTGCAGAGGGAAAGGCATGGCGTCTGGGTGCCTGAGGCCTGGGGTCCTGTCTGTGTGTCCTGTGCTGTCCCCGTGGGTCACCCTCACCCTTGGCCTCTGGCCTGCTTCTTGCTCATTCTATCGAAGTGGGCAACCTCGAGGAGGGCCTGCTGCCCCCGCCTGGTCGAGGGCCGAGCCGCTGACCTCCGCACTGCCAGAGGGCGCAGCTCTCCTGGGCCAGGGGTTCCAGCTGCGGGGCCCAGAGCCTGGCCGGCGTGGGGTGGGGGTGTCTGCCAAACGTGGCTGTGGGCTGCACACCGTTTCCCTGGTGCTGTGTCCGGGGACTGGCCCTTTAGCTGTCAGTGCACCTCCTGCAGGTTTTAACCCCCAGCCACAGGCGGGAAGCAGGTGCAGGGCGTTTCCGTGACATTCCAGGGGCTCACGTGCACCCTGGGCTGCAGCTCGGAGTCTGGCGTGGCCTTGGGCTTGCCCACCGCTGGCCTCTGCGCTCCGCTGCACCGTGCCCAGCCCTGGCCCTCCCCGTGGGGGGCTGGGGGGGGGGACTTCTGGGCCTGAGCGGAGGCTGGGAAGGCCGTTGGGGCAGGAATGTGTCAGATTTCCCTGCTACAGCCACGGAGGAGCCTCCGAGTCCCCTGGGCCCAGTGGTCCTGGCCCGGGGGCAAAGCGCCCATCCCACCACTCACACACCCGCTGGGGCGCTGGGCCTGGGCTGAGGATGTGGCCAGCTGTCCCAGCACTGCCCCCGACCAGCTCGCTCTGTGGCCTGGCCGGGCCATGTCACTCGCTGAGACTGCCCTCGTCTGGAGGACGGGGACAGGGCCACGTCGTGTTGAGAGTTTGGAAGGAGAGGCGTGGGCAGAGCACCCCTGGGCGAGTCTAGCGAGTGTAAGTCCCGGGACGCCGGCTGCAGGCCAGGGCCCCCTGGCACTGCCACAGCCCGCAGGCCCCAGGGACCCCCTGCCAACCCTTTCCCAGCGAGGGAAGTGGGAAGATCCTGTCTGGTGCGCCCACCGCTGAGGGAGCGACGGTGTGCTCCGCTCCACTCACAGGCCCGTGTCCCCGCCCGCAGGACCAGCCCTGAGACCTCCAGGCCACACGCCGGGCCGGTTCCAAAGCAGAGGGCTGGCAGGACAGGGCCATGTGAAGGGTCAGGAATGGGCTCGTGGCTGGGATCCCTGCGTGCCAGTCCCTCTGTGTGACCCTGGGGGAAACTGAGGCTGCGGGGCTGCTTGGTGACAGTCCCAGGGTCCGGAGGACAAAGAGCAGGCCGGTCCCCAGCCTTGCCTTTCAGCGTCCTCTGCAGCAATCCCGAATCTCACTGACTCTTTGGCCTTGTCTTTCCTCCCTCCTGTGTGGGCCCCTCTGGCCCCCTCCCTCCACTTCCGCACTGTGAGCCGTGGCCTGGCCCAGCCCCCACCCTCAGCCCAGCCACGGCCGCTCGGAAGCTGCTGGCTCAGGAGCCGCCAGCTTTTGCTGAGTGAGCGAGTCCAGAGGTGCTGTCTTGGCACAAAGCACCGCTGGCTAAGGCCTCTCCCTCCCTCCCTCCCTGCCCCCCTCCCCAGGGTCCTCTTGGAGGGGGAAGTGTGGTGGATTGGTCACAGAGGCTGGTCGCCCCCACCCTACCCCCTACCCCGCTCCACACTGCCTCTGGGAGGGAGGGTCATGAGGCCCAGAAGGGGGGGTGGGGGCACTAGGCAGGGCAGGGAGAGCTGGGTCCCGGGGCAGGAAGTAGGTCTGCCTTGCCTGGTGGTTGAAGAACCTTTTTGCTTCAGCCCTGCTGGCCATGGCCGGTCCTTCTTCTTTGGTCCGCCCTTAATTTGCATAAACTTTGCATTAACAGTAACAACAGAAGCAGTTCCCACTTAGGTGCCTCCTGTGTGCCCACGTTGTATGCACATCTCTCTGCACTCACTGGCCCTTGAGGCAGGACCATGGAGATTGTCCACACTCTACGGAGGTGGAAACTCAGGTTCTCAACCCTGACAAATTGACAGTCACCTGTTGGACAACCAGAGCCAAGCACCCACTGGGTGCTAACCACCTACTGTGTGCCACACAGAGCCCTAGGCCCTGGGCTGGCATGGTTGTGGTGGACATAGATGAAGGAGTCTTGCCCCCAAGATAGTTTGTGTTTGGCCATTCTGCCCTTGTGACAACCTTGGTGCCGTCATCCCCATTTTATAGATGGGGAAACCGAGGCCCAGAGTGGCAGGCAGGTGTGTTGCCCAGGGTGGGTCCCTGGGCTCAGCTCTCGAGGTCTCAGAACTGCATCCTATGTTTGCTGTTTGCCTCGCAGCCAGTCCCACCCGGACGAGGGCCACCCCCCGCCCCTCGAAGCTGTCCCGGTCTCCTGGAAGAGCGTGGGCTCCTGCCAGAGCCGCAGGGAGTCCCCGGGAGCCCTGGCGGAGACCTCTGCAGGGGAGGGGACCCAAGGCGAGGAGGGCCCTGCCGCCTCCCAGCTCGACGTGTCTCGCCTGCGCAGCTCGTCCATGGAGATCCGCGAGAAGGGCTCGGAGTTCCTGAAGGAGGAACTGCACAAAGCCCAGAAGGTGGGGGCCGGGGTACCTGGGAGACCTGGGGCGCCCCCGGATGCCCAGAGGCCTCAGGCACCTGTCAAGGCCTGCGCGGGCACGGGGGAGTGCAAACAAAGGACAGAGCAGCTCTAGGGTGACTTGTAGAGGGGGGATCCCCGAAAACCTGTTCCAGGCCCCGACGCTCTGGCAGCCGGGTTCCCCTCCTGCCGGCAGCTGAATGGAAAACGCCTCATAAACTAGAGCAGCAGAGGCAAGCTCAGTCCCCACCCCCGCCCCAAGATGACCCTGGAAGGGGGCCTGGTCGCCCCAGTGTCAGGCCTGAGGGCCCGGGGGGCTGACAGCCACCCACCTGGTGCCCCCAGGAGCTAAAGCTGAAGGATGAGGAGTGTGAGCGGCTGTCCAAGGTGCGGGAGCAGCTGGAGCGGGAGCTGGAGGAGCTGACGGCCAGCCTGTTTGAGGTGCACTGGCGGCGGGGGGCGGCTGGGGCCGGGGGCGGCTGGTGGCGGGGGGCGGCTGGTGGCGGGGGGCAGCTGACGGCCAGCCTGTTTGAGGTGCGCTGGCGGCGGGGGGCGGCTGGGGCCGGGGGCGGCTGGTGGCGGGGGGCGGCTGGTGGCGGGGGGCAGCTGACGGCCAGCCTGTTTGAGGTGCGCTGGCGGCGGGGGGCAGCTGGCGGCCGGGGGGCGGCTGGCGGCCGGGGGCAGCTGGCGGCCGGGGGCGGCTGGGGCCGGGGGGCAGATGGGCCTGGGCTGCTGGGCGTCCATTGGCTCCTCACCACTGCCTTCTTCCCAGGAAGCCCACAAGATGGTTCGAGAAGCCAACACGAAGCAGGCAGCATCAGAAAAGCAGCTGAAAGAGGCTCGGGGCAAGGTGAGCCCGACCCCGGCCCGGGCCTGCACGCCCCCCCATTCAGTCAGACCCCGAACGGCCTGGCGGGGCGCCAGGGGTGGGCACACCGAGGCCCAGAGGGTGGGGCCGCGATTCCACCACTGAAATTCCCGGTGCCACAGGGACATTCTGGAGCCTTCCAGGGGCTGGGAGGATCCATGGTCATTGTCACCCCCTCGCCTCTTCCCCCAACACACACACACACACACACACACACACACACACACACACACAGCAAAGCGGGGACCTCCGTCTGGCTGTGTGAGCCTGGGCAAGTAGCTTCCTGTCTCGGGGCCCATTTGTGTGTCTGTGAAATGGGAGGCTGGGCTGTCCTGGCGCGTGGGTGCCCCTCCGTGGGAGGCCAGCTCCCTGACAGGGGCACCTCACAGAGGCCGCTTACAGTGTGGGCACCTGGTGGGGTTGGGTGCTGCGTGCTGCCGTCCTGGCTGGCCTGGCGGGCGGCGGGCAGCATCACCCTGGGCTACGGTCGGCAGCCATCTCGTTCTGGCCAGATCGACATGCTGCAGGCGGAGGTGACAGCCTTGAAGACACTGGTCATCACGTCCACGCCCGCCTCTCCCAACCGAGAGCTGCACCCTCAGCTGCTGAGCCCCACCAAGGCCGGCCCCCGCAAGGGCCACTTGCGCCATAAGAGCACCAGCAGCGCCCTCTGCCCCATCGCGTGCCCTGCTGCAGGCCACATCCTCACCCCGGACAAGGAAGGCAAAGAGGTGAGGGGCGGAGGGCGGGCCATGGGTACTGTCCCACTGTCAGGCAGGCATTGGGGCCCGGTGGGACCAGGCCTGACACCCCCCCACCCCGCCCCTCCCTGGCCTGGAGCCCGCCCTGCCCTCTCTGGGCGTCTGTGACCTCAGGCCACGAGTGCTGCGGAGCTCCTTGTAAAATGAGACCTATGGCCCTCAGCTCCCGGTGTGCAATCTGGGGGCCTGGCACCCCTCCCCATTCCCACGCCTTAGGCGGCGTCCCTGCACCGAGCTGCCTCGGGCTGAATGCCTGCCCTCCGGCGGCGGTGCTGGGCCTCTGTGGAGGCCACCTGGGCCCGTGTGGCCGCAGCCCTGAGGCCGGGACTACCTTGTGACTCCCCTGCACTTGAGGGCACTCGGGACCCTCTGGCTGTGGTGCCGGGACAAGTGTGGCCTTTGAGGGGCTGTCTCCCTCCTCAGCTGGGTGCATGGAGTACGTGCTTCAGGTTGGACAATGGCCTAGGATGCCCTTAGCCGTGGGTCCTCAAGCAAGGGGGGGCACCTGTCGGTGCGTCGGCTTCCTCACGTGGTGTGTGGGGGCTCCTGGGCGCAGAGGAATCGAAGAGCGTGGAGTCAGGAGCTCAGCTTGAGGCTGTACCCAGCAAGCGCCCAGGAGGGCTCCAGTGGGATCGGGCTTCCTGGGGTCTCCGATGGCCAGGTGGCCCCCAACCCCACCCCGTCCCGTGTCTCAGCACGTCCGGGGAGGAGTGCAGCCGGGCCTCTCGTCCCCCTTCTGAGTTCTGGCCGTCTGGCCGATCACTAACCTCTGCTCCTTCCTCTGTCTCGTGCACCTGCTGTCTGTCTGCCCTGCTGGCCCCGCCTGCCCAGCCCGGGCTGCCCCCCCTCCTGTCCCTGCTCCTCTGTGTGGTCCCCAGTAAGGCGGTTCACCTCACCTACGAGCCGGCCTGGCAGCTCCCGCCTGGGGAGCGGCCCGCAGCCCCCACCTCCGCTACCTCTCTCTCCTGTTCCCGACAGGTAATGGCTCCAGAGCCCCCCCTCCCGCCTCACTCACTCTGCATGCGCCCGAGCGCCCCGTGTTCCCTCCCGTGTGCGCGTGCTTGCGTGTGCGGGGCCTGGGGCGCCTGTGGGGTCGCTCCAGCTCTTCCTCCTGGAGGAGGCGGGGTTCTTCCCCGTGAGGCCTGGACCAGGTGTGTCTGCAGCGCGAGGCGCCGAGACACAGCGCGGGGAGCTCCTCTCGGGCTGGGCTCTCCCGGGGGCCCTGGGACACCCCGCATGCTGCGGCCTGCCCTGTCCTCCCTGCTCCCACCTCCTCGGCTTGCCCGTCCCCGGCTCTGCCGTGCTGGGCCCCCGCACCCTGACCGCCCGACCGCCTGACCGCCCCACCGCGCTCCCTGCCCCGCAGGTAGACACCACCCTGTTTGCGGAGTTCCGGGCCTGGAGGGAGTCGCCCACCTTGGACAAGAACAGCCCCTTCCTGGGAAGGGTGTACCGCGAGGACGTGGGGCCCTGCCTGGACTTCACGGTGCAGGAGGTGAGTGGGCAGAGGGCAGCCGGCCGGGCACAGCCCCTCTGCCCGGCCGCCCTCACCGCCCAACCGCGCCCTGGTCTGCGCAGCTCTCGGCACTGGTGCGGGCTGCCGTGGAGGACAACACGCTCACCATCGAGCCCGTGGCTTCGCACACCCCGCCCACAGTGAAGGCGGCCGCAGCTGAATACGGCAGCACCAAGTAAGGCCGGCTCCCGCCCCCCCTCCTGCCCTCCCCCCACCCGCCCTGCCGAGGGCCTGGCCAGGGAGGACGCGCTCTGCCTGCCCGAGGGAGCTCTGGGGTGGCTCCCGGGGTGGGCTGGGTGGGCCGGGTACAGGGGCACCTCGGTACACCTGGCATGAGGTTGCCCATGTTCTCCTGCCCACGAGGGGTACGGGGAGGGGTTGGGGGTGTCCATCCCAGGGAGTTCTTGCCTGCTCCATCCTTGGCTTGGCCCTGGGCTCCTTGGGAGGCTGGGCCTGGGGAGAGGACGCCAGGTCCGCCCTCATGTCTGTCTGCTGCCCCTCCCACTGCGCCTTCTCCCGGCTGCGCATCCCCCGCATGAGCTGGCGGGTGAGCCCAGCGGCCCCCATGGCCCCTCTACTTTCCCCCAGCACATGTGCCCTGAGCGGGTTGGCCCGTGCCTGTCGCCATCGAATCCGGCTCGGGGACTCCGAGAGTCACTACTACATCTCGCCATCGTCCCGGGCCAGGGTGAGTCACCCGTTTAGAGCATCGCTTGGCTCTTTGGGGCCCCCAGGGCTGGGACTCTGGGCCCCGGCCTTGACCCACAGGGCAGGCTCAGAGAGGTGCGGGGACTGATCAGGCCGCACAGCCCAGCCAGGTGTCCTGGTTTGCTCTGGCTGCAGAACAAATCACCATGCTCGCCGTGGCTCCCAGCACCCATTCATTCTCCTTTCCCCGCGTCAGGAGTCTGGGCCCCGCTTAGCGGGGCGCCGGGCTCAGGTCTCCTGGGCGGCAGCCAAGGTGGGCGCCGGCTGCCTCCTTTCTGGAGATTGGGGTCCCCTCCCGAGCGCATGTGGCCGTTGGGGAACCCGGTGCCTCTGTGGCTGAAGGACTAGGTGCCCGTGGTCTCGCTAGCCAAGACGTAATCCTGGGTGCCACCTGCCACCTGTGTTGTTTAATGTACCCGGATGAAGGCAGTGGCCTGGAGGTCAGACTATAGTCCCGGCGCCTGCGCCCGCCTTGGCTTCAGCCCTGGCTTTGGGGGGGTCCTGAGGTGTGTTTGTCACAAAGCCCGCCGTCAGCGTGGGGCAGGGGGCCCTCTAGGACTCCCAGCCCTGCCCCCTGTTGGCGTGTGACCGGGCTGATCGCGGGGGGTGGGGGGGGCTCGCCAAGCTGGGGGTAAATGTGGGGTGGTCCCCACTCTTCCGTCCCCTCATGGACAGCGAAGAGAGTAGGGGACAGAGGAGAAGGAGCTTGTCAGCAGGCTGGCCAGTGCGGGCAGCGTGTCTGGTGCCGTCAGCTTCCGCAGGGCACCCGAGCATGTCGTCCCGGTGGGGACCCCCCCAGGAGTGAGCTGACTCATTTCCCCAAAGGGAGTCTGAGCCTTAGAGAGGAAGGGGTGTGCCTGGGCCGCTCAGCCGCCGGGTCTCCCCGCTCTGAGTCCGCAGAAGGACGCGCGGACATCCCCGTGCCTGGCCAAGTCACCTTCAGGACTTGGTTCCTTCAGGCCTGGTGCCCGCTCTGGCCTGGGAGATGAGGAGGGGGGACGTGTTAGGTTGTGGTCCCCGAGGATGTGGTCCCATCCGGAGGAGACCAAGGCGTGTGGGGTCCACAGGGAAAAGAATTCTGTCCCCCAAGCACAGCCCTGGGGCCAGAACCCTGTGCTCCCCGCCAGTCCCTGCTCACGAGCCTCCCGCGGGGCCACCGGCCACGGGCCACACCTGGCCTTTTCCTGCCCGACCTCCGACAGTCCCGCCCGCCCCCCGCATTCTGGCCTCACTGGGCTGGTGCCCTCACTTGGCCACACTCTCTTCATACCTCCCTGCCTGTGCCCGGGCCACCAGCCCCCCTGCACCCACTTTGTCCCTGCTGAGGGTTCCTGTGTGTTTGAGGGCCCAGCAAGAGCAGGTCCCCTCCCTGTGACTTTCTCCATGCCCCGTCTGAGGCCCCCACACGCTGGGCCCCCCTTCCCCAGAGGGCTGGACATCCAGTGGGGGCTGCTCCCTGCCATCCTGCCTCAGGGTGGGCGTCCCTAAAGGCAGAGCCTCAGAGGAACGTGCAAGGCTCAGGCGCTAGAGAGGCCGGCAGGACGGGGTGCAGGCGAGGGGAGGCGGTGGAGCGAAGCAGGGTGTGGCTGTGGCTGGGGTCTGGCTGCCGCTGAGTGGGTCCCACCCTGAGGCAAGGGGACTGGCCTTTTATACCCCCCATGCCAGGTAGCCATTGGCAGAGGGGCACCTATGAGCCATTAGCAGCCAGCGTGCTCAGCACCGGGGAGATGGGCCCCAGCCTGGGGAGGGACCTGCAGTATCCTCTCTACCGTATCAGAGTCCTCGTGGCAGGGCCCGGGTCTGAGCACAGGGGGCAGAGCAGGCCTCAGCCTGGCTGGGGCTTCGGGCATAGGGACCCAGGGCCACCAGGTGAGCGGCTTCCGATTCCCCTTGTCTTCCCTGGCGTTACCAGGAGCACCTGGCTAAGGCCTGGCTGGCCCCGGGGGGTGGGCGGCTCTGCCAGGATTGGCTCTGTGACCTCCACGGTTGTCGGCTGGCTTCGTTTTGGGAGCCTCCATTTCCCCCCGTAACAAGGGCATGAGAAGCAGGCTGACTCCCTGGCGGTGGGCCCTTGATTAAATGCAAGTTGCTGCTATTGTTTTTAGTCCAAGTCGTAATAGTACTGCTATTGTTAAACAGCCCAGCCCCGTTCGATTCAGGCTCTGATGGGACAGGACATGGGGCGTCCCGCTCTGGTCTCTGACCTGCCCTGCCTTTTGAGGGACCTCAAATCTGAGGACTGGCCGGTCACATCCTCCCCCCGCCCCCCCCCCCCCCGCCCCTCCCTTCTTCCCACAGATCACTGCTGTGTGCAACTTCTTCACCTACATCCGCTACATCCAGCAAGGCCTGGTGCGGCAGGACGGTGAGCGCCCCCTGGTGGCCGACGGGGGATGGCGTCCTGGGGGCTGGGGCTGGGGCTGGTCCGAGGCTTCTGCAGTCCCTGTCTCTGGCCAGGACTCCGTGGGTGAGGAAAGGGCCAGCACGCCTGGCGCTGATGTGAGCTGCAGAAGGCGCTCTGAACCCCGCTTTACCAGGAACGCTAGCCTGATGCCACCCCCACCTGGTCTGACTGCTTTCTCCCTGGCCAGGGCCTGCAGGGACAGCTCCCTGACACTGGCCTGGCGTTTGAGAACCTGCATGAGGGGCCTCCCCGGGGACTCCTCTCCTCCAGGCGTGGCCTTCTCATGGCTCCTGAACCTGGGCCTCCCCCCCCCCCCCGCCCTTGCCCAGCGGGTCCTCCGGCACCCCTGCCCCCTCCCCCCATCCTGCATAGCCTAGCTTCCTGCTCCTCCAAACTTGGTTCCCCAAGAGTCTCCTGAACCAGTTTGGAGTGTGCGCCTCTCCCCCAGCCTGTGGGGGCCACGTCCCCCGGGAAGGCCGCAGCCAGGCCAGGGTTGAGCCCTGAGGGGCCACCTCCTTCCAGCTGCGTGGACTGGCACGGTGGCCCTGCGCCCTGCTCAAGGTCCCGGCGAGGCCTTGGGAGGTGAGGAAGGAAGGCATTGCGAGTGTGTGGCCGTGTGCACCTGCTCATCTGTGTCCGGCCGTGGGAGCGGCCGCCACCTGCTCCCCGGGCAGCACAGCCCCTTCACGTGTGTGCGCTCAGCAGTTTGCAAAGCCTCAGACCCCACCCTCGGAGAGTGCAGCCGCTCGCCGAGGCCATCTGTCCTGGGGGACGGGGAGCCCAGAGTGCCTGCCCGCTGCCCTGCCCAGAGCCAGGGGAGGGCCAGGCCGTTGGCCCAAGGTGACCCTGAGCTGTCACCAATTCTCCGCTCTCTCTCCGCCTGCAGCAGAGCCCATGTTTTGGGAGGTCACGAGGCTGCGGAAGGAGATGTCGCTGGCCAAGCTGGGCTTCTTCCCCCAGGAGGCCTAGCCTGGCCCAGGACCGACGGGCGGACAGGAAGACGGTGCGGGAGCCAGCCCTGAGCCAGAAGCTGCACAGACGGACAAATGGCCAGGCGAGGAGGCGTGCTGAGCCGGTCCCACGCGCCATCCCAGGAAGACAGGACCTCACGGGATGACCCTTCCCAGCGGCACAGCCACCATGAGGCTCTGGAAGGCACCACAGACCGAGGACCCGGACCCGCACTTTGGGGCTCAGCTTTCGCGAGGGGACCCCTGGGGCGGCCGGCACCCTCCGCCCCAGTTCCGGGAGCCGCTGCCTGCAGATGCCTGTGGCTGCTGGGCAGCCTGGTCTCCTGGTATTGCCCACCCAGCTCCCAAGCGCTGCACACCAGCACCCCCTTGTGGCCATCCCTCGCCCCATCCTAAGTGCCCACAGGGCAGTGGTGCTAGGAGGGGCTGCCAGGGACTTCCACGCCAGCTGGCACCTGCTTGAGAACTGCCTCCAAGTCCCTCCGATGGACAAGGCCCCTCCCATTTGACCTGCCCCTGCCCCTCTGAGCCCTCTGCTCCGGGAGCCACTGCCCCCACCGCCGCTGGAAGGACCGGGGCACTTTTCCCTCAAAGCAAAGCACAGCCAAGGCCTCAAGGCGCCGAGCCTGCTTTCAGCTGAGGGTGGCCCTTCAGACAGCACGGACCGAGGTCACCAAGCCCTGCCCGCAGGACAGGGGTGGGACAGGCAGGCCCCAAGCCCCCCTCACCCCTCACAGCCCATTCAGGACCCGGCTACCCCCTGGACACATCCCTCACCACGTCCAGTTTCCGCCTCTGAATGGAATGCAGCGCATCTCTATTTAATAAAGGAAGCCTTTGTTGGTAGAGGCAGGGCAGCCAGGCGCCTCTGCTCCTGTGCCCCGGGGCTCGGGCCAAGGCTCGGGCATCTACAGGAACGAAACCAAATCCTTTCCTCGCCCACCGGCCCTCGTGCGCGGGATTAAGCCCAGATCCTGCAGGGTGGCTGTGCGGAGACGCCTCGGGTGGGGCTGTGGGCTGTTGGGGGAGGATCCCGAGTGCTCTCCCCTGGGGAGCGGCTGCTGTGGGGAGAATGGCTGGCTCTGCGGTGCCTCCTGAGGGCCTTGGGCGGGTCCCCTCCAGTCTCCCTGCCTCAGTCTCAAGGAAGCCTGGAGCCCAAAGTCCAGCTGCCTGGCGCTCACGGGACAGTGGCAGGGTTGACCGGTGATGTCTGCCGGCAGCACAGGCAGGGACCGTGGTAGCAATCAGGGAGGAGGAAGGGCTGGGGCCTGGTACTGCCCGTCCTTGCCCCCAGCGCCCGTTCCCTGACTCAGTCACACCCAGGGCGACTCAGTCACACCCAGGGCGAGGGAAACACCGAGTGACATTCCAGAGGCCTGGCCCAGGCCCCACCCTCCAGACCTGCCCTGCCTGCCCCTCCGATAGCGGGCACTTCTCCTGTCAGGCCCAAACAGTAGCTGAGAGGGATGGGAACACACTCTGGCCCCATGATCTCCCAACAGTAGCTCGTTTCTGAGCCCTTGTCCCGTCCCAAACCTGGTTTCCAGCCCTTTCAATGGACAAATTCATGTGACCCTCACAGCAGCCCTACTCGGTACTGTTATCCCCATTTTGCAGATGAATCAACTGAGGCACTGGGAGGTCACACAGAGGAAATGGTGTCCCCACAACAGGAATGAACGAGTCCACCCCCAGAGCGTTAACCAGCATCCTAGACTCCTCTTACTGACCATCTCCATGGAAAAAGCTGCTGGTTCGATCCCAGGTCAGGGCACATGCCTGAGTTGTAGACTGATCCCCGGTAGAGGGTGTGCAGGGGGCAGCCCCTTGATGTCTCACTCTCACATTGATGCTTCTCTCCCTCTCCCTTCCTCTCTAAAAAAATAAAATACAAATCTTTAACCCCCTGCCATGTTCCTGGTGAGGAACCAGGCCCTTCCCCGGCTTTCGGGGATGGAGAAGCTGAGGTGCAGGCCATGGCCGAGGCAGATTTGAGTCTCTGTTTGTTTCCCACAGTTTTACCCCGTGACACCTGCCCTCCCCTTGTCCTTCTGGCTTGGGGTGTGGCGGGGGCTCTCTGAAGGAGCTCAGGGAGGGGACAGTTAGCTGACGTCAGCCACACAGGTGTTACTCCTCTTAAGTGAATTTTCTAGATAACCCACTTGGCCCTGGCACATGTGGTCACCTCTGGAAAGCTAGCACCGACCAGGGCCATTGAGCCCGAGCCCAGCCGCCCGTGGCCTGCCCATTACAATGCCGCATGTCACAGTCTGCCACGCCTGTCCTGATCTGATCCTGCCAGGGCTCTGTACCTGGGCCCCGCGATCCTCTCTGGGCCTCAGTTTTCCCATCTGTGAGTTGGGAAGATTGGCTGATGTTACCTTTATCATCCCCTCCCTCTTTTCTCATTTATTTTATTGTGGTAAAAACACAAAGTTTACCATCTTAACCATTTTTTAAAATATATAGTATTTTTATTGATTCCTGAGAGGAAGGGAGAGGGGGAGAGAGAGAGAAGCATCAATGATGAGAGGCTCATTGATCCGCTGCCTCCCGCACACCCCCTACTGGGGATCAAGCCCGCAACCCATGCACGTGCCCTGACCAGGAATTGAACTGTGACCTCCTGGTTCATAGGTGGATGCTCAACCACTGAGCCACGCCGGCCAGGCACCGACTGAACCATTTTGAAGCGCACAGGCCCGTTGTGCTAAGTATGTCCACACCGCTGTGAAGCAGATGTCCAGCGCCTTTTCACCTTGCCGATCGGCAACTCTACCCATTAGCCAGCCCCTCCCCCGCCGCTGGCCGCCGCAGGCCACCTCCGTTCCCAGGACGCTGGCTGCTTTAGACACTGTCCGTGGCATCGTGCAGTGTCCGTCCTTCCGCGACTGGCTTATTCCACTTCAAAGTCCATATGTGTTGCGGCCTGCGGGGGGGGGGGGGGGTCTTTCCTCCTCGGGGCTGGGTGACATTCCTCCGTGCGCGTGGGCCACACGCTCCTTGTCCCCCTTTGAGGGGCACGTAGGTGGTTGCCACCGCTAAGCTAACGCCGCCGTGGCGTGGTGTGCGCGCTCTCTGGACCCTGCTTTCCGTTCCTTCGGACGTTCACCGAGAGGTGGGTCGGACGGTAGGTGCGTTTTAGTTTTGTCAGGAACCTCCACGCCATCTTCCACGGTGGTGCTCCGGTTTACAACCCTCCGCGGTGCGCAAGGCTCCGCCGCGCTGTCCCGCCAGCGCCTCCTCCTCGCTGTCTTTGGAAATGGCCTTGCTAATGGCTGTGGGGATGCGCCCTGCGGTTTGACTGGCGTTTCTCTGATGCTTAATGCCGTTGAGCATCCTCTCGTGCTCCTTGGCCAGCTGTGTGCAGCCTCTTTTCGCTCGGGGCATCCGTTCTAAGGGGCTCTGCGCCATGGCGGCATGGCCGTACGTGGGGAGCGTCTGTGGCGGGGAGGAGGAGGGACCACGGGGGTCTTGAATAACCGTGGCCCTGCCTCCCAGCCCTCCCCCTCACAGGAGAGAGTGTGCAGGGCCTCAGCAGCCGGCGGGGGGTGAGCTTGCACTGCAAGGCGAACGCTAAAGCTCAGGGGGAGGCTGCTGTGTGTCTGCGGGGGCGGTCGGGGCTTGGCGACTGCTCTCTGGGAGGCCGGGAGCTCCCAGACCGCCCGCCCGCGGGGCCACCGCTGCGCCCATGCGGCGGGCCCAGCCCCGCTGGCGGCACCAGCAGCGTTTGGCTCCGGGACAGCAGCTGGCAGCTCCGCGGGGTGGAGACTTCGGGGCGTCCAACAAGAGGCCTGTGTGGCAGCTCGTGGCAGGGAAGCCCAGCAGGGGCTGGACAAGGGTGGAGTGGATGCCCCCTCCCACAATGCTTGGGCGCCCAGACCCTCCCTCGCCTTTGGGCCAGTTCCCCCTCCTCCTCCCTAAGCCCAACACTCTGGTGCGGCCCTTGGCAGCTCAGGAATGTCAAGCGGTGCCTCTCCCTTTCCAAGTGGCCAGAGAGGGCTCCCTTGCTCTGCAGGGTGTGGGAACAATGGAGTCCCAAGTCCGTCCCCCACCGCCGACTCTAGGAGACTTGCAGGATCCACTGGGTTGCAGCCCAGGGAGGTGAAGGGACCGATGGAAGCCCCAGAGCCTGTAGAGAAGTCACGTGGGGCGTGGTGGGGAGGAGACACAGTTCAGGCTTTATGGGAGCACAGCCCCGGGTGGCGTGGGTGGCGGGAGGGCTCCAGCACTTGGTGGTTCTTGCTGGGATGCAGAGCCTGGAGGGTGATGGCACTGGGCCCTGGCCCTGCCCCGCCTCCTGAGGGCCTCTGTGCTGGCCTCACCTTCCTCCTCTCTCCAGGTGCAGCTGGGGGAGGTGGAGGAGCTAACTCACCCCAACCCCCCAGCTGCCTCCCGCATGAGCTGAGAGCAGGCCAGGTTCCAGAGAGGGCGTCAGGGGTCAGCGTCCAACCCTGAAGGTGGTGTGAGGGCCATGCCCTGTGGAGGCAGTTTTCCAGTGTATAATATAGTAACTGGAATCACCACACTGCCCATTAGGTCCCCAGAACTTAGTCATCTCCCCACTGAAAGCTTTTACCCTTTAACCAACATCTCCCCACTTGCTGGGCCCCCTCAGGCTGCTAACCACCATTTCCCTCTCTGCCTCCATGCGCTGGCTTTTGTAGATTCCACCTGTAAGGGAGATGATGCGGTGTTTGTCTTTCGCTGTCTGACTTACTGCACTTAGCACAATGCTCTCCACGTTGTCCCCATGGCAGGAGTGTCTGCTTTTCCCATGGCTGAGTAATATTCCATATTAGAGGCCCGGTGCATGAAATTCGTGCACAGGTGGGGTCCCTAGGGCCTGGCCAGGGATCAGGGCCGATCAGGTTCCCTGCCTCCTCCCCTCCCCGCCTCTCCCTCTCCTCCTTCCCTCACTGCCCGCATCCGCGGACACCCACCCCCCGTTCCCCGTCCCAGCCTGGGGACCTGCCAGCCCAGGGGAGGGACTGGGAGGTTGGCTGGCAGGCTCCATCAGCAATCAGGGGCTGGGGGCAGCTCCTGCATTGAGCATCTGCCCCCTGGTGGTCAGTGTGCGTCATAGTGACCGGTCATTCTGTTGTAACGTCACTTAGGCTTTTATATATATAGATTAGCTTACATCTTCCACATCCATTCATCTGTCGGTGGACACACGAGATGTTTCCACAGCACAGCTACTGTGAACAATCCTGCAGTGAACATGGGAGTGTACATATCTCTTTAAGATCATGTTTTCATTTCCTCTGGATATATCCCCGGAAGTGGGGTTGCCAGGCCACATGGCAGTTCAGTTTTTAATGTTTGCGGGGTCTCCATGCGGCTGCACCCGTGCACACTCCCACCAACAGCTCACAAGGCCGCCTTTTCTCCTCGCCAAGGCTTGTGATCGCGCGTCTTTTTTGTGAATTCTAACGGGTGTGAGGTGCTAGCTGAGTGTGGTTTTGACTGGCGTTTCCCGGAGGCCAGGCACCTTTTATTTGGTAAATTTCTCTTCCGTCCCTTTTGCTCATTTTTAAATCAGATTGCTTGCTTCTTTGCTATCGAGTTCTTTCCATCTTTCGGATATTAGCCTCTTACCAGAGAC